ATTGCTGTCCTTTGTTTGTGGGGTTGTTGAGTTCGTTGGGCTTTTCTTCTGCAGGCTAAGCCGGGGCTGTTTAATTGCTCACCGATCACTGCACTTCTGAGCCATTGCAGGGTGCTCGAGGGAAGCCGGCTTTGTTACAAAGTATCCGCTCCTGCCCTGAGTCAATTGCTGCTGCCTGCCTGTCGGCAATTGGCTTGCGGTTTGCCTACGTCCTCTTTTCTGCTGCCTGCCTGAGGCATTGAAACTGACTAGGGGCAGTGAAACTGAACAGTGGCGTTGGCCGTGCTGTGCAGGCTGAATCTGACATAGTATGTATCAGAGGAAACGCGACAAGGCCTGCCATACCCAAACATAGGGAAAGGCGTGCAACTAAACCACTTGAACTTATCCACACTGATTTATGTGGACCTCTTCAAATCTCAGCAGGTGGAAACAAATACATAATATGTTTTATAGATGATTTTTCCAGGTACTGTGTAATCTACCTGATGAAAGAAAAGTCCCAAACTGGGGATATGCTAAAGACATAGGTTGCTATGGTGAGGAATAAATTCAACCAGACCCCTCAAGCCCTTCAAAGTGACAGAGGCAGTGAGTTCATTTCTAACACTATGCAGACTTACCTAACACAACTAGGCATACAGCACAGATTAACCACTCCTTACACGCCAGAGAGTAATGGAGTCGCAGAACGAAAGAACAGATCACTGATGGACATGGTAAGGTGTATGCTGTTAGAGGCAGATGTACCTCACAAACACTGGGCAGATGCTGTTATCACAGCTACATACTTTCAAAATAGATTGTCAACCAGAGCCAATAAGGTAGCGCCTTTTGAGCTTGGGCATGGGCGAAAACCAAGTGTCAAACATTTAAAAGTGTTTGGATCTGAGGCCTATGCCCACGTACCAAAAGAAAGGAGATCCAAACTAGACCCTAGAGCTGAAGAAGGGGTCATGATTGGCTACGCTCCAGGAAGCAAAGGATACAGAATCCTGAACCCAAAGACGGGAAGAATACGCGTATGCAGAGTGGTATACTTTGATGAGAGGGAGAGAGGCTGCTGCACTCGGGTGGATAATGACTGCGGAGAAACCAGCAGCAGCTGTTACCGGCCTGAGATGTTCCGCCTGACACTAGAAGACACAACCACACCAACCCAGAGGGAGATGGAAGTCCAGGAAGAGACGCCACCAGAGACAGATGATGAGGCCGAGGATGCAGAAGAGGGTGAACCACCAGTCGTCGCTCCCGAACCTGCTCTGAGACGCTCATCACGACCCAACAAAGGAGTTCCAGCTGACAGACCTACCTACCTCGCAAGGTCGTCGCTACCAAGCGAACCCGCATCGTGGAATGAGGTGCTGCAAATGCCAGCAGATGAGGCAAGTAAGTGGAAAAGGGCAGCGCAGGAGGAGCTAGATGCTCTGTACAAAAACAACACGTGGACTGTGACTAAACTACCAAAAGGCAAGAAGGCCATAGGTGGTAAGTGGGTGTTCAAGGCAAAACAAGACGAGAATGGCGAAGTACAGAGGTACAAGGCCAGATTGGTAGCAAAAGGCTGCTCAAGAAATATGGACAGGACTATGACGAATGTTTTGCTCCTGTTGTGAAACACACCACAATTAGAACGCTTCTAAGTCTAGCATATCCAGGAACATGGACATCAAACACTTAGATGTTAAAACTGCATTTTTACATGGGGAGATAGAAGAAGAGCTTTACATGACACAGCCTCCAGGCTTCACTAATCCCAACACCAAGCATCTCCTCTGCAAGCTTCAGAAGGGGATTTATGGCCTGAAGCAGGCAGCCAGAGCGTGGAACAAGAAGTGAAACCAAATACTTCTTGACCAGGGTTTCGCTCAAGGAAAAGCTGATCCCTGCCAATACACAAGACACAGAAATGGGAGGGATGTGTACATACTTTGTTATGTGGGTGACTTAATGATTTGCCACAAGAACAAGAGGGACTTTAATGATACTGTTTCTCAACTAAATAGAGAAGTAGAAGTGAAGCATCTGGGCAATGCCAGCTGCTACTTAGGAATGCAGATGAGAGAAG